TTCACTATATCTGCTCTCCCCGGACCCTGCATTCACTATATCCGCTCTCCCCGGACCCGCATTCACTATATCCGCTCTCCCGGACCCCGCATTCACTATATCCGGTCTCCCGGACCTGCATTCACTATATCCGCTCTCCCCGGACCTGCATTCACTATATCTAGTCTCCCCGGACCCTGCATTCACTATATCCGCTCTCCCCGCACCTGCTTTTACTATATCCGCTCTCCCCGGACCTGCATTCACTATATCTAGTCTCCCCGGACCCTGCATTCACTATATCCGCTCTCCCCGCACCCTGCATTCACTATATCCGCTCTCCCGGACCTGCATTCACTATATCCGCTCTCCCCGGACCCTGCATTCACTATATCCGCTCTCCCCGGACCCTGCATTCACTATATCCGCTCTCCCCGGACCCTGCATTCACTATATCCGCTCTCCCCGGACCCTGCATTCACTATATCCAGCCCCCACAGTACACACAACATGGGAATGCAATTAATTTAGTAAATATAAACTGCTAAATACCATTTCTCATCAGCAGTTTTGTGACTTCTATCAGTGTTCAGCAGAGCACTTGTTAGAGCTCGTAGGTGGAGTTTTCGCTCTGCTCTAGGAGCATGCAAAACCCCTGACCTCTGTCTGGACAGTGCTGATTGGCCCTCTGCTGATCACATGCACTCTCTCAGAAAAAACAAAAACTAAAAAAAAAAAAAAAAAACTCTAGCAATACACACTAAACGAAGCATGTGCAGAATGGCTACGGTTCAGTCTGTCTTATCAGGAGATAAGACGGTGGACATTTGAACAAGAGGAGGAGCGGGTGATAGAAGACAGGATCAAACAGCCTTTTTACACAATGCAGAGGATTAACCCCTCAGGTTCCACAGTGAGTATAACCAGCATGCTTTACTGCATTATAGAGACTGATTGTACTGTTGGGGGTGTAGTCACACTTTAAGGCTCCATTCACACTTGTGTGACTTGTCATACAACTTTGGACATTAATGTGGCATGACAAGTCACGGCTTATTATTTTTAAAGGCACTCATTCAAATCTGTGCGGGGGGGGGGGGGGGGGGGGGTGGACTTTAAAGTCGCATCTGTTTTGAAAAAGCTGTCCGCACTACTTTGTTTTGCAACTTTTGATGCGACTTTGGTCCAAAGAATGTAAAGTCAGATCAAAGTCGCACTGGAAATCATGCGACTTTGGGGACACGCTGATGTGAATGGAGCCTTATGCAGGCCATAGACGGTTCGTTTATCGGCCGAATACAGAAAAATCGGTCGTTCTGTTGCCACCAATGATTACGAAAATCGTCCGTTTTTTTGTACATTTTTTTGACAAAAGAAATGAGGAGGAACTGTGAAAATCGGCCGATGACATTGCCCCACTAACGGTGCGATTATCGGCCGATTATGCTTTCGGATGAAAATTCGGCCGATAAACGAACCGTCTATGGCCTGCATTAGGCCTCATTCACAGGGGGTGTGCAGGCAGCCTTTAGAAATCAACTACAGGCAGTGTGGACCTCCGCGCACATCCCAGTGTGCGTCTGTTCCATGGACCGGAAACGCAGTCTGTCTGCGTCCTGCTCTGTGCGTTGGATGTGCACTTTGCAGGTCCGTGCTGCTGGTGGCCTGACATTGACTTCAACAGGATGCCTTCATGGAACACTTGTACATCCCAGGCGGCTGAAGACGCCACTTGACATGGGTGTCGGATTAGTATGCCCATGTGACCAGGGCCGTGGGCACCACCAGTCCTCCTGTACAGGGCCCAGGCAGCTATGTCAATCAGATGTAGGCAGGGAGGTAGTTCGCCACGATGGAGGGGGATAAGTACTGGAACCGATCCCCTGTATGGCTCTCTCTGACAGCAGCTGAAAGCTGGATTCTTCTCTCTCAGGCCCCTCCTGCTGGCTGCAGACAGAGCCATTCAGGGGTGGAATATCGAGGGGCCGTAAATACTGTAAAACTGTTACCAGCCCTTCCTTTCCTGTGTTCAATTCATCATAACTGAGGCCTTGTAATCGGATTTTTTTTGGTGGGGGGGGGGGGTTGCCCTCTCAGGTTGGCTGTATGGGGCCCCGTGGTTTCTAACAGCAGCCGTGCATGTGATTAAGGCTTTTAATGAATACAGAGCTGGGTTAATGTGTGTGTTTATTTCTGCCCGGAGTTCAGCTTTAATTTTCTGATTCTTGCCATAGGTCACTATACCTCTCTAAGTCATGACAAAAGGTCAAAGTGACACGGCTACGGTCTAGTGATCATCAGGTCTGGGGAAAGTATAACTTTAGGCTGATAGAACTGGCCTGTGCAAGGTTTCCTGTATATTGTAGTGTGCAGAAATCTGTCCTAACCAATGCACTTGCACCTTCCATGTCCTACCAAAGCCTACCCTCTTTATCCACTTATATTACCGTGACTATTCTGACACTTGTCTACAAGTAAAATCAGCATTTGTTGATTAACAGATTACTTTGATTCTCCAAAACATTATATTTTTTTTTAAAAGAGGCCCTAGAGCAGTGTGGTTCTCAACCTTCTAATGCCGTGTACCCCTTTAATACAGTTCCTCATGTTGAGGGTGACCCCCAACCACGTTAAAATTGATTTACCCAGCTTAATTATGAATTCATGAGTGTCGTTTTACCTCCAATAGCTGTTGCTTTCAAAATAACACAGTTCTGCTTTTAAAACAGAGAGCTGCTGTTCAACACAGCAGCTGCTTTCTACACAGATTCTTTTTACACATCAGAAATATGGTTTTCTGATGGTCTTAGGGGAACCCTGTGAAAGGGTCGTTGACAAATGGTCAAAGGGTCGCGACCTACAGGTTGAGAACCACCAGCCCTAGAGAATTAAAATGGAGGACGAGCTGCAATTTTTTTAATTTCACGTGCTTGTATTTTCGCAGCAGTTTGTAAAGCGCAAAAAAAGAAATCAAAAAAACAAAAAACTTTAAAGTGTGCATCTTTCGGTGCAGGTGCCGGCATCTTCAGTAAGGAAAACCAGAATCTTCACATCTATGCGGACTATAGCTGGCACTTTTGCTACAAGAGCACGAGAGCTCATTCATTTGAATGGACTCACCCATGCCCCGGGACTACGCAGGGAGGATGAGAACTCTGATTGTGAAAGGGTATAGGACTGGGGGCTTTTTTTAAAAGGGGGCGGGGACTGAAGACTTCTTATTGTGAAAGGGGGGGGGGGACGACTGAGGGCTCTGATGTGAAAGAATTCAGGGGGGTGACTTTTGGATTCTGATGTTTGGGGGGAATGGGGAGGAGATGAGGACTCTGATAGTGAAACAGGGGAGGAAGACTAGATGGGAATGGGGAGGGGAATGAGGACTATGATGTGCAAAATGAGACTTTGATGTGAATGGAGGCGTGCATGAGAACTCTGATCTCAAAAGGAAGTGACTAGGGGCCTTGTTTGTAAAAGCGGCCTGGGAACTGGTTGAAAAGGGGGGGTTGGACGACTGAGGGCTCTGATGTGAAAGAAGGGGGGTGGACTATTCATCTGATGTGGGGGGAATGGGGGGGAATGAGGACTCTGATTGAAACAGGGGACAAGACTATGATGGGAATGGGAGGGGATGAGGACTATGATGTGCATGGGGGGGAGGGTATGGGACTATGATGGAATGGAGGCGTGGATGAGAACTCTGATCTGAAAGGGTAGTGACTGGGGGCTTGTTTGTGAAAGGGGGTGGGAACTGTTGAAAAGGGGGGGTGGGGGATGGACGGACTGACGGCTCTGATGTGAAAGAAGGGGGGGGGGTGGACTTTGGATTCTGATGTGAATGGGGAGGAGAAATGGGGAGGAGATGAGGGACTCTGATGTGAAAATGGGGGAGGAAGACTATGATGTGAATAGGAGGTGAGTAGAACTCTGATGTGCATGGGGGGGGAGGGGTATGAGGGACTTTGATGTGAATGGAGGCAAGGATGAGAACTCTGATCTGAAAGGGTAGTGGACTAGGGGCTTGTTTGTGAAAGGGGGAGGAACTGTTGAAAAGGGGGGGTGGGGGATGGATGACTGAGGGCTCTGATGTGAAAGAAGGGGGGGGGTGGACTCTATGGATTCTGATGTGAATGGGGGGGGAATGAGGACTGGATGGGAAACAGGGGAGGAAGACTATGATGATGGTATGGGAGGGGATGAGGACTATGATGTGAATGGAGGCGTGGATGAGAACTCTGATGTGAAAGGTTAGTGACTGGGGGCTTGTTTGTGAAAGGGAGGGAAGGGAACTGTTGAAAAAGGGGGGGGGGGGATGGACTGAGGGCTCTGATGTGAAAGAAGGGGGGGGGGGGGGTGGACTTTGGATTCTGATGTGAATGGGGGAGAATGAGGACTATGATGTGAAACGGGGGAGGAAGACTATGATGGGAATGGGAGGGGATGAGGACTATGATGTGAAAGGGTAGTGACTGGGGGCTTGTTTGTGAAAGGGAGCAGGAACTGAGGATTCTGGTGTGAAAGGAGGGGCTTCTGATGTCACCCCAATTTAGAATGGGGTGGATTTTCCACACTTTTAAAGTCTGCCATAACGTAAACAAAAAAAAAAGTGGCTTAAGGATTTAATACTACTATGAGGCTGCTAAATCAGCCAAGGTTCTTCCAGAACAGGGGCGGACTGACCATTTGGAAACTCGGGCACTGCCCGAGGGCCCGGGGTCGGTAGGGGGACCCATGAGATACCCTGGTACCTTTTTCATAGGCTTTTTGAGTTTCGGCAAAGACACAGGGGCCCCATGATCCCCTATTGGGGGGGCCCCATGAATTGTCAGTCTGCCCATGTTCCAGAGAGATAAAAATATATGGCACAGTTGGAGCACACGGACCTGTGATATGCAACTTATTAAAACGGTCTTGAAGACTTTAGTGATACGAGGAAAACTGGAGGTACTGGAGGTGCTGAGGCCGATTCGTGCCTCACTGGTTCATTAACAGCCAACCTATGCATTGCTCATGAACAAAAAGGACAAGCTTCCCCGAAATCTGAAATCCAGGTATGATCTTCAGCAGGATTACATTGATCCAGCTTGGCCCAATGTAAGTATGTATATCTCAAACTGATGGACTGCTGGGATAGCCGACAGTCACTGTAGTAGTTGGTGCTACTACAGCGATCATCAATCTTTCAGATCCTGTGCCAGGTTGCCTTCTCCCTGTACATAGGACGCAGCGGGGGTCGCTTGCTCAGCACTGCTGCAAGTCACAGCCCTATTATTTTTTTTGTGATAATATGGGAGCCTTACTGCACAATCAAAAGGCTAGAAATGTGGCCCTTGTTCTATGAAATTTACCGACATATCTTGTAACTTCTATCTTGGCCATAAAGACCAACTTGCAGCACATTGTATAAATACTTGGGAAGAGTGTTCCGGTCGGGAGTAGAAACATAAACAAGCAATAAAAGATCCAATTTCTAATTACACATGAACTGCGGTCCATTGCCAGGTCTAGGGTGGCCAAGGTGCGGTAAAGGAAAGATGAGGAAGGTCAGATT